CATCCCAGGCGCGCCTGGGCTGCCCCGCTGCCGGAGCCCCTCCGCATCTTTGCTCCGCGTCTCCCTGGTCTGCAGACCAGGGAGACGCGGAGCAGCTTTTCTCGCCCCGGAGTACAGGGGCGGCGGGACTGCGAGGTCCTGCAGTCTGTGTCCTCCGGGGCAAGAAAAGCCCCGTTCAAACCTGCAAGTCGGGGACTGCCTGTATACCCGGCGTATAAGACGACCCCCGATTTTTGGGGGATGTTTTTTAGCATAAAAAGTTGTATTATACGCTGGAAAATACGGTACCCAAATACGTACCTATGTGCAGGGCCACCCCTAGGGAGGTGCAGGGCCTGGGGCAGAAATGACAAATATGTCACTTCCAGAACCACTGAACCAGCCAATCATGCCATCTTGTGGGGTCCAGGGCAGTCACCCTGATTAGCTCTACCCAAGGGACGGTTACTCTGGGAATCCTAGGCAACCTGTGTGAACATGGATTCTGTATGAAAAGTATCTTTAAAATAATTCACTTTGGAGAAGAACAGTTCTTCATTTTCTGTGTTGTTACTGAAGAGGCAATTCTCACTTCAAAACACACTGGCTTGTCTTAAAAGATCTCCCACTGAAATCCACAGTCAGCAATGTAGGGTTGGATATGTGCCCTTCTCCTTCATGGTGTCTCATCTGCTATTGAATTTGTTGTCCCTTGTGACTCCCACTATCCAAAAAAGTGACTAAAACGAAACAAAATTACTACAGCTAATGGAAATTCTCCTTTAACACAAATACAGGTTGGACATCCCTGGTCCGGCACCCTTGGGACCTGAGTGGACCCGAACCACAGAGCTGCTGACCCAGGAGAGGTCAAGGCTTTCTACCTCCTTGAGACTGTTCACCCTGCTGCTGCCTCCAGCCCTCCATTATGCCAGCCCTAGCTGAGTCCGGGTCCCCCACCGTGCCAGCACCAGACAGGCTGGCCCCACTCCCTCCAGCCCCGGCCTGGGTTGCGCCCTCAATGTCACTGGCCTAGGCTGCATGGCCAGCTGCCAGCCCTGCTTCCTCCAGATCCAGCTGAGGCTGCGCTTTCTGCTGCCAGCCCCAATCGGAGCTGTGCCTCCCCCCATCACACCAGCCCTGACCACGGCTGTGTTTCTTACCACACCAGCCCCGGTTGGGGCTGCACTTCACACCACCAGCCCAGCCCAGGCTGCACTTCTGAATCTGGCCAGCCGAGGCTCTCTGGTCCAGCAGTATCCATGGCTGGCAGGACCATGGATAGACCTGAGAGTCCTAGATTTTAGCAGTTCAACCTGGAGTAGGGATCTGTGATTTTGGTGAGGGTTTTTAGTTTTACCTCAGCAGCTAATGAGTTTTGTGATGACTGTTGTCTTTCTTGGGCAACCCTGGCTTCAAAACATTTTCACAAACACCAGTTGAAACAAAGAGAATCAGAACCAGGTATGGGGTCGAACTAGAACACTGATTCAAAATCCCTCAATGTGCGAGGAAGCTTGGAAGTGGTTCTAAAGTCTGTAGTTCAAAACAACCTGCATATCTTGGAGATCAGGGGCAGATGACCGTTTTGCGGGGCCCCAGGCAGCATAATTCCGCGGGCCCCCCTTTGCCACGGCGCATGTGCAGTGACACCATGCGCATGCGCCGTGGCGCCACGGCACATATGCGGGGCTTTTTTTTTTTTATCCGCCCCTGCTGGAGATGAAACATCAGAAACCAAAATCACTTGAATGGTAGGAAAATCCAGAGCTGAAACCAAATTTTGCAACTTGGGAACATCAACCAGCCTGATTAAAGGACTGTGTTTTATTGTATAAGGTTACATCTTTACCTTTACTAAGGTTAAAATGTGGGGTCAGAATCTCATCACCCCTGTTATTATTTTATTATTTGTATTACTGTAGTGCATAGAACTTGTAGACTGGACCAGAATCCCGCTATGCCAGGCACTGAATAAACACAAAACAAAAATTTGTTCCCTGCCCCAAGAGGCTTATCATTGTAGAAACCATTTCATATTTAGCTAGAAGCCATCTTGTATAACAGAAACCATTTCAGCTTTTTCTTCTCGCACGTAGACCAGAGTGAACTTTCTGTCACCCTGTGAGAAGAGGCCTACAGGATGGGCTATTGGAACGTGTTAATTGGGCTGGTTCAGACAGGAGAGGTACTCCCTCGTACCTGTCCGCCATCTTGTTGATAAGGGTTTGTTTTTCCTAGTTTAATTGATGATTTCTGTAATTGGATGCCCTGACGTCAGACTGTTTGGTTAAGGGTATAAAGATACTAGGATTGATTGTATTAGGCAGCCTTACTGGCCCCGGCTCTGCTGGGACCACGTTTGGGTCACTTTGCTGTACTGATCAATAAAGCTGTCTGTTTAGCCGCGTAAACCGAGTGAAGTCTTTGCTTCGACATCATCTAAGTAAGGCTTTTTAAAAGTGGTCTGGCACTATAATGGATCTAAAAATGGGTGTCAATGTGAAAGGATTTTAGTGTACGTGAGACTCAAGCCCTTGGATTTCAGAGACAACTTTATGAGATTTTTGCTGTCCACATACAGAAGAATAAACCATGTTATACAATGTTGTCTCATAACCATGCCTTTGAAAGCAAATGCATCAGGAAAATAATAGGTATTAAATGGAATTAATATATTAAAAATGCTGAGATTTATCAGCAATTCCTCATTTCTATGTAGAAAGAGACAATCAAAAGAACTTACAGTACTCAAAGAAGGAAAACACGTGGGTTATAACAAGAGAGAGGACATGCAAATTGCCATCAGAGATAGATAGGAAGGGTGGAGCCATATTCATGCCCTCACTGACATTTGACAGCATGGCAGGCGGATTCAGATTCAGAACCAAGTTTAAACATGGGTATATTTATAGACTATACAGGACCTACTTAAACATCCTCAAGCTTTAAGGAAGTTCATGTCTACTTCTAAGATGGTTCTAGACCAGAATATCAGGCCTCAAATCCCTCAAACTCTATGCAAGTGTAAGCGGGGGAATGGTCCCG